TAAGAAAACAGAGATGACCTTCATATCTCCTTGACGCCTCCACCTATCAAAAAACTAGTAACATCGGATGATCAGCCCCTCGATACCAAATAATTTTGACCTGATGCATTTTTTCCTATCACCAATAGCAGCCAAGTTATTCAGGTGGCCGGTTTTAAGTGCCTCACCCTGTATGCAGTAAACATTCGTTTCCCGCACTAGTCGGGGCTGTAGCTAGTGATGGGTAGTCGACCCGAGCAGCTCGAGCTGTATCGGAAGCTTTCGATCCACCGGCTCGGCTCGGCTGGTCAAGCGGGCCGAAATGACAGTTTTATGAGGTGACAGAGGAGACACGAGGATCTGGCACGCGAAGCCTCGGCGCGTAGAGATGTTACCTGGCCGCCGGCAACCGACCCTCGGGCCTTCGGGTTAGTGTAACACACGGAATGAATCACTCATGAATAAAAATTTAAATTTTTACTCCTTTCAGTGTATTTTCTTAAACATGTTATGAATAAATGTTGGAGATTCTCCTGATGAAAATAAGTCCAAACCCGACATAAATCGGACTATTTTCAGTATTACTTATGTAGTTCGATTCGCAACAGTAAGGGAACAGGAACAGGTGGAATAATTGATCACATTTTTTCCTTTTCGTTGAAGTAAAAGTAATTGTTTATGTACCTTACGCGGCTACTCCAACTTAGTTGCCGAACTCTTCCGCGTATCTCAAAGGTCGGGTTAATGATGTTTAAGTGTATTGAAACGCAATGCGATGTAAGTGAACTGTATAAATTTATTTACGAAACAATCAACAAGTCTGTACTATGGTTGTGAGGTACTGTATAATAAATAGTTACATAACATTTTTAAGAAAATACGCTGAAAGGAGTAAAAGTTTAAATGCTTACTCATGCGTTATGTTGCGATACGAATTGTATTGTTATTAAATATAATCCGATTTATGTCGGGGTTGGACTTATTTTCATCAGGAGAATCTCCTACATTTATTCATAACATTTTTAAGAAAGTACACTGAAAGGAATAAAAGTTTAAACTTTATTCATGGGTGATTCGTTCTGTGTGTTTGTATCCCAAGCGTCGGTCGCCGCCGGCTTATCTTTTCATAACATCTCGCCTCGCCGAGGCCCGTCGCCAGCGTTTCTTAGGGTGGAACGAGATGTCAACCGGTATCGATACGGTTCCAGCCGAGCCGAGCTTCCTCCTCTAGAGCTCAGCCCGGCTCGAGCCGTACCAGGAACCGTGCAGGAAGCAGCACCAGTTACCCGAGCGCTTTCCCCACCACTCGGCCGTTCAGTCGTGCGACGCAGCTATATATAGGGTGGGCTGGATATGCGTACGTTACGGTTACATTAATTACCTCCGTTATTTTTAGAGATATCAGAAAAGTTTATACACAGAAGTTGTTCAGTATGAAGAGGGCTATTACTTAGCAGTAACAAGTTTTTTGTACGTGGAGTATCTTCTAAGTTTTCAAAGTTAATTATGTTACTTTTATTAATGATATTGAAATATTATGGAATAAAATGCTTTTATTACATAAATCGATTCTTCCAAATATTCTGCGTAATAAAGTATTAAGGTATTATGTGAGAAAGGTAATAATTTGTGATATATTGTAGTGGCAAATGTCTAGCTTGGTTAGCATCTGTTACCCAGTACGTGTGATCCGCGAGACAAGAAACAATCAAATTGCCACCAATATTTGTTCCACCAATATTCATTGCACCAATAAAAACATTATTAAAATAGTATTATATATACTGCGCTTTCCGTGATGAGATATGCGAGTTAAACGCGACACCCTATGTGTTCCGGCCTGGGCGTGCTGGGCGATAGAGTAGGGTACGCGCGCGTGTGTGAGAAATACGTGTGAGCAAGGGGCGTGGCTTTCGTGCAAATAACGGTGGCGCGGGAAACGAATGTCTACTGTATGTCTATACTAAGTCTAGCATCTCTGGTTCCGAATTCCTACCTTGGCGGCGCGGATTGCGAGTGCCGCAGATCCTCATGGTGGTGGGGATTGCCGTCGTTCGCTCGCCGCGCGCACATTCATTAACAAATATTTTTTTATAGAATCGGTATGGTTACAACACATACTTCCATCCCTTGATATAGACGGTACTTGACTTATAAATAACAAAAAAACAATACTTTCTATGTTTTAATTCGGTTACTTTACCTCTGCGTATACAAATATATGGTACATCCACGAGCAAACTCGGTTTCACTAGGGGAAAAAGTGGCGTAGAATAAAAGTCTCCTACCACTTGGTCAATTTATTCCAGGTACTGAAATTAATGTTAAATCGAATGTTAATTTGGCATAAATTTCAGTAATTCCAAATACCAATAAGTAGTAGCATGGTAGGAGGCCCTTCTCCTGCGTCAACTTTGTCCCGTAGCGGAAGCCGAGTTTCGCGAGTGTACATACAGCACGTGGGTTTTAGTTTGAAGTTTTTATTAGTTATGGAACATTGCTAATTTATGTTTGTGTGTTCTTTATTGTAATAAATGAAGTGAAATATGTACCGTAGAAAATATATGTCTTAATATGTACATGTTGACTTCCAGACTTATCATTCGATAGAAACAATCTCCGTTTTTTCATAAATCCTTGCCTCATTTTATGTAGTTTTTATAACATATTTACAACTGCTCATTATATTTTTGTGGAGCAAACTTAATAAAAGATTAAAATTTTTTTTAATTGTTGTTTACAGAGATAATGTTAAGAATAATATAGTTTTGTAAAATGGTACAGCGTACTTTTATTATGGTCGTGTTTTTAAGCATTTCAAGACAAATTTAACGATAATTTCTCGTATAACTATATGCATATTGGTAATGTGGCGGCACTACCTCCTACATTCGCCATCAGAGGTCTACCGAGTTGACACCTTTCCCGCAACTACCTGAAGCCTTCCTCGTTCGTATATATACGTCCTTAACCGACCATCGTATATCCCCGCGTCTAAGGCAGGGTCTGCTAGGTAGCCTTACTGACGAGTCCACTAGCAGGCCCAGGACGAAACACTCCCTCTCCCTCTCCTTTCCTTTTCACATTCTACCAGTCAACAGTTTACCGCCAAAGTAACAATTTCATTGTTTCTTGTATCGCGGATCAGACATTGTGGGTAAAAGAAGCTAATCAAACTTGACATTTGCCTGTAATATTTCTACACTTATCCGAAAGATTATTGTTCAAACAGAACTTTTAAATATGTCGTTGAATTCGTGGTGAAACTCTTAATGATACGATAATCATAAACATGTGTAGTACCATTTAAAAAAAATGGCATTGTTATTAAAATTCTGTAAATAGCAATTAAAAAAAATTCAAATCTTCTATTAAGTTTGCTCCATAAAATCAAACAATCCTCATATGAAACATTATTTCGCATTTTCAATGGTTAGAGAAACAATAGCGTGTATACACTTACATCGTACATACTGCAAAGCGCACAGTGGTGAACGAACCCAACAAATCGTAAATAATTCTAGAAATATACGGTTTCCGGTGTATTCGAGTTTTAGCGATTATGTATTGTGTGTAAGTTACAGATTGTGTAATACTTCCCTAGAAATTTAGTTAATAATTGAGGTATTATTTATTTTTTGTTCCAAAATATGTTTTTTATAATATTAAGTAGTGAAAAGATAAAAATAAAGTATTCTGGTTCTTTGAAAAATTCTGTAACTTCTGTTCATCAGATTTGTAGGGTCTTTTCAGCGTACTTGGATTCGGTTCTTATCACTCTAATATAAACAAAACCTATTTTTATTTTTGTATCTTCCCTATTACTATGTATTTTTTAAAAACCTATTTTATAAAAATAATGACAAAAGAATATTAAAATCTACATATGTATATACTGGATCATTTTGACCCGCCTTCGGCGTTCTCGGATGTAATTTCTCGGAATTTCTCTCAGAAGTAAGACTTTAAAGTAGCATATATTCTTGTTGACTCTATGTCTTTCAACGCTTAGAGCTCGACGCTCGCCGGCTTGAAAGTATTGATATTTCGAGTAGGTATCAAAAGGTATCAAAATTTTTGTAGGTATCAGACGAGTATCGATACTTTCGGGTAGGTATTGATTGCCTAGCTAAATTTAGAATGAAATACAATTAAATGAATTACACCAACACGTGGAACAATTGAAGAGCGATTATGTCAAGTAAAGGGTTTTCCAATAAGAATTATATGATTTTTAAATGACATGGCAACCACGTTTAAAATTTTATAACTGACACTAGTTGTCATTTGTCTTTAGTATACTCTGACAATTTATCATGGCTAAATACACGCTTCAAGAACGTTTGATTATTATCTAAAAATGTTATGAATCTAGACGTTCTTTTGTGAATACTCAACGTGCACTTCGTGAAAACTATGGTTCACATAATCGCCCTTCTATGCTTGCTATTCGTCGAATCGTTGAAAAATTTGAAAGGGATTTTACTCTTCGCGATGCGAAAACACCAAGTCGTCGAAATGCAAATTGATCGATTCCTCGTTGTGCTAAAAAATTAGTCATCGAAAATTGGGTTCATCGAATTCGCTCGTGTGCACGAAGTCAAGGTTGACACTTAAGTGATGTGTTATTCAAAACATAATGTAATAAACTGTGCTTCAAAATAATATAAAAGGTTTGGTTGTATCTAAAATAGTTTTTATTTTATTTTATTGTTAAATGATATAGTTCTTATTGGAAAATCCTTTAGAATAACCCGTCGTGTCAGACATATTTTACCTCGAATGCAATTTTGCCTCGAATGCAGTTTTACCATTCTTGATTTACGTTTTAGTTCTGCATGTAGAATCCACCCTGTGAAAGTGTCCCACATTTTTATTAACAACCTCCTGTATACACATGGAGATTTTGGGTTTAGCATAGAATATGTTTCTAATAATTTTATAGAATTAATGTAAGATACATTAATTTTGTTTTATTGTCATGTTCAAATTTATTTAATCCCAATTTGGTGATTTTTTAGGCGCGACTTGCCCTAAGGAGTTACAGCTGTAGTGTACCCAACGTTAAGATGTACATTGATGGCCATTTCGTAGGTAATTATGTCATTCTATTAAAACTCGCATAATTCAATGTATAGTTACTGTTCTTCGCGAATTTCATGTGGACAGAATTTGTTGTATTAAAATGTTCACTGTATAAAATTGATATCTTTCAAAGAAATTGGAAATACAATAAAAAACGAATGTCAGTTAACAAATCAATTTCCCAATAGTATTTTTAGTAATATTGTTCTGTTGTAATTACAAAATAAAATGTTTATAAATTTGCATCGTATTTTTACAATGTTTCATTAAACGCACTGGTGTTTGATTTGATTAATGAGATAGAGGGTGGGCCAAATAAAAAGTTGCAAGCTGTTTTCTTAGAAACTACTGTAGATACTGATTTCATTTTTATTTTAATCCTGTTACGGTCTTCAGTTCAACTATACACTTAAGGGGTTAGGCCACCTTGGAGGCCCAAAAATCATATGTAAGTTTCAGAATTATTTTGACAAAATTATTACTCACATACATCCCCTTTGGTTTATTCATTCCCAATTAGCCAAACTTTCTTTACACTTTTTAACAGGCTTATTCCACTTAGGGGTTTTGTTAAACAATCCGCTCCATTTTCCTTGATCACGGCTTGTCTAATACAATAATATTTTCTATTTAGTAACTTCGACTTAGTCTTGAAAGTTCTGCCATTTGCTAATCTCACCGCGTTTAAATTGTCACACTATATCAGGTTTTGACTCACAAGGGAACATACCGAATTGACAATTGCCGATATTGATGTAACTGTGTGAAATTATAGTTCTCATAAAAATATTTAACACGTATTTGTTTTAGCTATTCTTATCTACGTTAAAGGAATGAAAATAACCCTCAAAGTTAGGGGTGTGAACTGTATTCTGTGGAATATCTCGGAAACTATTAGAGATAGAGAAACCGTATAAATTGAAATAATGTGCGTTTTTTTATAAGGAATTCAGCTATATAATTGGATTCCAGAATAATCCATTTGTTTAAACAATACATATAAAAAAGTAGGTAGTAGGCGGCGGAACGGGATCGGCAGGGAACCCATGTCGCCCGCCCTAGGTGGTGGGGACGAGGGGATCGATCGTGGGTATAATCCCCGCACGCCTACGTCCTCAGCAACGCAACGGGGTGTTGCCCTCCGGGCAAGGCGGCTGCCAACCGAATGTAGGAAGGGGCCTGAGCCACACCAAAGTTCTCAGGCAGCCACCAGGGCCGCGGGGGGAGGCGAGTAGAGGCTCGTTCCGCTCGCAATAAGCGGCCAAGAGGTGGGGCGTTATCGGGACGTGCTCCTCCTACACCGCCGACAGCGTAGGAGTTCCGGGAGGAGAGGCGAGTCTTAGGCAACTTATTCCTTCGAAAAAGAAGCTGCCTGGCAGCTGTGACGCATGGGGTCACCGTGATGTTGTCCTCGCAGAGAGCATTCGACGCCCCCCTGTGACGCGTTGAGGTGGGCCCTCGTGTGGTTTTTAGCCGGTAACAATCCGGCACAATCTCGGTTTCCCCTTCAGAGGACCGAGCGGTCCCTGAGGATTTACTCCATAAAGGAGAGCGCTACTTAGGAAGTAGTGGAGTTTTCATTGAAACTGAATTAAAAAGGAGTCATATTTTAAAGCGAATTTAATGCCGACAATCGCCTTAACGAGGGATATTTAAAATGCGATATGAATCAGACGAATTACACTGGGTGTTAAATAACAGGTGTAAGAAAATTTAGTGGGCGATTCTGCGTGATAAAATGAGTCGAAAATCAAGAGCAAGAAGAGTGATCGTGAGGCTTCATTTATTAGCAATAAGCATTTAAGAGTTAGTGGTGTTACATGAAGTTAGTCTTCAGCGCGCCATAGAATATTTTCATAAAAGGGAACAAATCGAGAAGTTGTCGGAATCACGTGAACCTGTTGTTTCAGATTCGGCCGCCACGGAATATACTGACGTCCACAATCCAGCAACAAATGAGGTACTGTGTCGTACTCCAAAATGCACGCCAGGGGAAATGGAAAACGCTGTCCAAAGCGCGAAGAATGCATACGAAGGGTGGAAAAACACTAGTGTACTCACGAGGCAGACTTTGATGCTTAAGTATCAAGCACTTATTCGTAAGCATTCGGTACGATCATTAACGACTTGTATGTTGTTCTATGAAGAAATGTTATACTGACTTACTATTATTATGCATATAATAGAGATAATGCATATTTATGTATTGCGTTTATACACTGTTGGACATAATTAATTGACTAACTAAAAAGGAGACAATTAGACATAAGATCACAAAATGAAAGTACAATGAAATCTTTGTTTAGGAAAAAACTCAATTTGATACTTCGTCAGGCATTTATGCTTCTGAACGTGATTAACTCTATGTCTGTCATTACTGTCTATTTACTGAACATACAGGGTGTAACAAAAATGTTGGAGGACCCTGAAATGGGAGATTCGTGAAGTTATTTGAAACAAGTTTTTCCTTAACAAAAATGTTATCTGCGGCTTTGTTAACGAGATATTAACGAAAAACTCCGACCAATCAGAGCGTTGTTCCAAATCGCCTCACGAGTGTCCTATTTCAGGGACGAGCAACATTTTTGTGTGGGATCGGGAACTCCATACCCAACAAAGGAGCAAATAACATCTTGGGAAAATAGGAGGGTTCCGTGGAGTAGTTGGTAGAGTCTCTGCCTTCGGCGCGGGGGGTCGTGAGTTCGAATCCCGCTTGGGCCCTCTCATTTTTCCAACGCTCCTACATTTGTTACACCCTATGTAAGGAAGTTAGCATCTAGTATATAGACCGAGCCCCACTTTTACAGGGCTTTGTGAAAGGTGGTGCGCATGAGCCAAACTAAGGCCTCGGAGGGGTATACTGAAATCCCCCTCTCCTGGGAGAACACGTTCCTAACAGACTACTAGTATGTAGAAATCTGTGAACGCGACGCTGTAATGGTTCAAGTGTTTCTCCAGACGTCTAGAATTAAAGAAAATCCCAATGTGAACATGTACAGGACGTCATATAACTAGTGGTACAACCGGATAAGGGGGTGATTCAACGTAAAAAAATTAGATGCAAATAGAGAATAAAATTTTTTGTTTTGAGACTTTGTTTTCAAGAAAGGCGACTTTAAATATCTGCCAGATCCGCGTGCAATTGAATAGGATTTGGCAGGCGCATCTGTTCTTTGCAGGCCGCCTCTACTTATTACCATGCCGATTACACGTGTTTCAGATTAATCTTCAAAGACGCTTTTCTCGAAAACCAAGTCTTAATTAAAAATATTTTGTTAAATATTTTCGACTTATTCTTTCACGTTGAATCACCCCCTATCCGGTTACACCATCAATTTCATGACACCCTGTATAATACGTGTAACGGTACTGGTGGGTGTGAAAGTTACGTTTAGGGGTGGCAGCACTAACGATCTTGACCTTAATATATGTTGTCAGACACTTTCCTGAGTATGTTCCGAAAGGTTTTAGCCACCGCTCGTTTTTTATTAAAAAGTTATGAACAAAAATATTCTTGAACTGTCTCTAACCAACTTCGATCAGTATAATGCTTCAAAATTAAGTAGGGACACTTCAAGAAAAAAAATATTATTGTCTTAATAACTTTTTAACAAACAACGAGCGACAACTGATATATTCTGAGACTAGTAACAAGTCGAACGTATCATATACAAGTATCTACTACATTCCTAAATTTACTGTTCTATTTTGATATCTTTTGTCATTCTTACTTGATATCCCATTCACAAGGGAACACCGCGAACGTTGACTCGCGGATTGGAATAAAACTTTGTGGGTTTATAGAGGGATGCAAGACAAGTATAACGATACGTTTCATTTGTGCCCAATCGCCTTTTAAGAACAGGAAAACTAACCCCAAATTCAGGTAGGCATTCCCACTTTATTTGCGTATAACTTTTAAAGAACAGGAGATAGAAAAAATGTTTCCAACAAAAGTTTAATGGCACAAGAAGCGCTACAAACTTATGTTAACAAAATTTTAAGAAGAGTGTTCCAAATTTACTTTTTAAGAAATAAACTTTCTCGAAATTTTGTTAACGTAACTTTATAGCACTTATTATACCATTAATCATTTGTTTAAAACATTTTTTTCTATCTCTTGTACTGTAAGAGTTATACGCGAAAAAGTAGGAGTGCTTATCTGACTTTGGGGTTAGTTTTCACACACTTAAAGGGCAATTGCGTACGAATGAAACATACCGTTATTCTTGTCTTGAATCACTGGCATCAGGCCGTTATTCGACTGCCAACTCGAATACATTGAGCATTATACCTTCCGTAATTATTCGAATTTCTCCATATTTTTTCTAAATGTTCACAAAGGATAAGACATCCAAAATCATTGACTAAAGAAATCGTCTTTTTTCAACTTTCAATAGTCCTTTGTTCAGGATTGGTTGAAGAGCAGCATGGCGTTACGCGCGACCAATCTGTACTTGCCGACTCGGCGAGCGCGTACCGCACAATTCGCCGCGTATTCGGTGATTGTCGCACCTAACTCGGCAATTGTCGTGAGCCGCTAAGCGTTACGTCGCGGGTAATCACGGTTATGACACCCTTAGGCCAGCTCGAGCAATTATAGCGGCATCCTTGTTTTGTGAGTGCCATGACTTTGTCTGATCACTGGCCATTTCATACACACCAATAAGACCGTTACTGTGCGAGCTACGTATGTGACCAGAAGCCCCTTTTTTGTGCAATAACAATTGGTAATTACCCGTGACTTATTTTGCGCGACTTTTTGTATTCTCTTATTGCCAACAGGCTTCGTAGCGAACTGCTGAGTAATAAGCAAGGGTACTCCCAATTAAACAGCGAATAAGCTACTGGTTCTCTGGATTTCTATATAGTGGACTCTAACTATATTGCCATGGTCGGGGCTGTAGGGGAATAAAATGGCAATGAGTTCAGAGCCCCCTCTATGCTAAGTTCAGTCGCCGTAGCCTCGGAGCTGGATCGTGTTGGTGCGCCGGCGTACGTAACGTGGTGGGAGAGCGAATTTGTGTTCGCGAAAGTACGTATGAAGGTGAAGTGCCTCGCGTGGCAATATGTTTAGTGACAATATAGTTAGGGTCCACCGTTTAAGTTACGGTTTAACCGTTATAGTTTGTGTGACTTATATTTATTGGTTCTGTGTATCTGTGATTGACAATAAACTATTTGTTTCGCTTCAACTAGGGAAGGTGCTCCTGCTACCCTTTATTCTCGAACACCTCTACGCTCTTAAATCATTGACCAGAACTACTAGTCCTATTGTAATCATTTATAATGTGTCATCGACAGTGCACGTTAAACGGAATATTTACTTCACTTTAGTTTTCTTTGGTGTTGCAAGTTTCATGTAAAATGAAATATTGTGTACAAAATCAATTAGCCCTCATAGGAAGTTTTTATTACGATCGATATTGTTAAACAGTTCCTTCCACTGTTAATTATTTTTTAATATTAAGACTAAGCCCACTTAGGGTTATTAACTGTTACGTTTCTTATGTATGCGTGATACGTTTTTTTTTTGTAGAAAGACATCGCAGATAATTTAGTTAAGGAAAATGGAAAGACCATGGTGGACGCCGAAGGCGATGTTCTTAGAGGACTGCGTAAGTATTTTTGGGAAAGCATAATATCTCTCGTAATAAGCTGTAATAGTTTTAAAAGTGTTTAATGAAATCTTAATTTAATCAGCATTTTAGGAAACTAATTATATCTTAATGAAACGTCAACAAATTTTCAATGCATTACAAAATTTAATTAACCTCTTAATCGGGGGTAATATGTTACCTCGCCATTTGTATTGAACTACACTATTCGAGGACCTTCTTTTCTTTTTAGTAAATTGCTTCGAGGTTTTTGCATTTAATTGTATGTGTGTACACTGCAACCCGAGTTTTGCTTTGACGGCGTTTTTTGAAGAAAAAAATTGTCCTCAAAACAGGGTATTTATAACTTCTTAACAAACTCACTTTTAATTATACTTTGGAATTAAATAACAGTGGCATTTTATGGAGAGCGACTATAGTCGGCCGTAGTAACGAAAGGGTTAAAGATGAAAAATCCCGGCTGTTTCGCCAAGAGCATGATATCTGAGTTCTATCTGACTACGAGATTCAATATATTTCAATTAAAAGCTCTTTGAAAATGAATGAAACTTCACATCATTTTTCAAGAGAACGGTTGAGATCCAACCAATGGTTCCTTTCAGACTTTTTATCATCACGATGAGTAGAATATAAAGTAACGATACAAAAATTTGACCGTTAAATGCAAGGTTAAGGTCAATTTTGTGGCAACGTTCTTACCTTTATCTCCACCAAATCGAAGGTGTAGAATTCGGATATGGTAGCCACAACATGTAATTTTTTGACACCCTGTACCGTGGTAACCGCAATGGAGGAACCGCGTGCGGGTCTAATTATTCGCGCAGTGTGTGAACATTTTTCGCGGAGGAGCAATCGTGCAATGTGTGTGGCATTATCAGCGGACTTCTGTGGTGTATGTGCATCTGCATGTATACTCGTGGACAGGCAAATTGCTGTACGTCACAACCAGAAAGTTTATTATTCCTTGCTATTCGATAATATTTGTAAGAAGATATTTGCATGACTTGCGAATTTTATCGAGTAATCAGGGTTAATGCGATACAAGTGGATTCGAATGAAATACATATCGCGGACACAAGTGATCGGTATCTTCTACCGGATAAGTAAATAGTTATTCTACCCACTTTTCATGCACGTCGTGGTGTCTTTAGAGTGACTGTACGCCCCTGTCAGGCCTGCTCCAGTGATAGTCCGTGCCGTACGGATTGCCATCATTCAGGGATACTTGTAAACGCTTGTAACTAACAAACTAAGCATTTGTCGCAATTTCGTCACTCTTGATTTTCGTTTGGTTTTGCCTCTAAGAGTCACCCCTTATTTTTTTTTCTACTAGTGGTCGAGCACCCTGTATATGATTTAAATACTAATCCCCACATTCGGTAGTGCTTCGAGGTTATTGAGAAGGCAGCTTAGTGCAAGTACCCGTGGTTGTGAGCAGAACAGTGCGTCGTGATCTTGCCACCCACATTTTCATTAACACCCTGCATTATGTTCTGTTAAATTTGATAAACACAATCAGCGATCCTAATCTGTCGGGCAGTCTATACTGCCAAACCGTGTTCACTTTTTATTTATGTTTCAGAGGTAGTCGATGCTTGTACCGCAATTCCTACTCTCCTGATGGGCGAGAGTACCTCAAACATCGCCACAGACATGGACATAGTGTCCTACAGGGTTCCTATCGGTGTAACTGCCTCCATCTGTCCATTTAATTTCCCCGCGATGATACCACTTTGGTCGTTTCCTGTATCGATCGCGTGTGGGAACGCAGTAATTTTGAAACCGTCGGAGCGGGTTCCGGGCGCTTCGATGATCCTCGCTGATCTATTCACCAAGGCTGGTGCTCCTCCAGGACTGTTGAATGTGATCCACGGACAACACGCTGCCGTTGATTTTATCTGCGAGCATCCTGACATCAAAGCAGTATCTTTTGTCGGCTCCGATCAAGCGGTACGTTCTGTTGATGAAAATTCATTCATACTCATCGAGAAACATACTTCGTTTGCCATGATTGTAATTGAGTCGAACGAATCAATCTATTATTTTTAGGTTTTCACATTTCGTTCAGGTATCCCTGGGAAATTGTCTATTCTGAGAAAATATGTTAATTGCAAGATAAAGTTCTTGAGTTATTTGTTAGATGTACCAGTGGTCAAGAATCTCTTTGTTAATAAAGTAATAACGCACATTAAATTCCAAACATTTGTCTTCCTCTTCATCTTTAAGATTGACTGCGGATGCTGGAGAACGTAGGTGAATACAATAGAAGAAGCACAGTGATTTAGAGTTATTTAAGAGATTTGTAGGGTAATTATTTAAAAGTTTGACTTTCTCACCGATTTCATTTTTTTTTCAGGGGAAGTACATTTATAAGCGGAGCAGCGCTCACGGTAAACGCGTACAGTGCAACATGGGGGCAAAGAACCATTGCGTCGTTCTACCAGATGCGAACAAAAACAAAACGGTTTCTCAGATCGTGGGAGCCGCGTTCGGTGCAGCTGGCCAGAGATGCATGGCTCTTTCGGTTGCCATATTTGTCGGTAAATCGCGGGATTGGGTGCCAGAACTGGTGGAGGCAGCGAAAGCGTTGAAAGTCAATGCTGGGCACATACCTGGCACCGACCTAGGACCAGTTATATCGCCACAAGCGAAGGAGAGGATACTCAGGCTAGTGGAGTTGGGGGTAAAAGAGGGGGCTACGTTGATTCTGGATGGTAGAGAACTTCTTGTCAAGGGTTTCGAGAAGGGAAATTTCATTGGCCCCACAGTGCTGACGAATGTGCAGGTGAATTTTTATTTATATATAGTTATACATTTAAATACCAATGCTTTAACACGTTCCCGCCCTCATGTATCACCGGTGGATCATATACAACTATCCCATCGGGCGGTGTGTATCATGAGTGGTACAAATGAAGCAATAACATTTATGTTTTCCTTTGTTAAGGAAAAGAGGAAAAAGTTTGTAAATGGACTGAATCATTCCATCTATTCATTCCAATTGAAAAATTGATTTCTGTATTTAACAAATTTATTTAATTCGTTACATTAAAGAGATTTTTATTTTTATGAATTTCCTGAAAACACAGGAGACATAAAGGAGGCCGATTTTCGCAGAGACCGCAAAATGTCGTAACACGTTTGCTTTTCCTCGCGGCCACAGAGGCACCTATTTCTTGAGACAATTTTCGGTAGCATTCTCTACAGCGTCTACGGACTTGTCTTGCTGAGCCTAAATATGTTTCTAAAAAATGTTTGTCGTTTCTCATTGTTTGCACCCGTGGCATTTCTTTAGCTACTAATAATTTATTAGTAATTACGTCTCTACATTTTAATACGTTCAGGACAATAAAGGTAAAACAATAGGAAACTTATTACTGACGTAAATAATAACTAATAACAATGTACTTTTGTTTTGCGTGTCTTATCTTAATAAAATAAGTACAGTGTTCGAATAAGCGATAGTTAGTAAGTAGCGCCGCCAGATGAAGTAAAACATGAATACGAGCGCCGCCCCACGACGAGAAACACAAATTGCAGCGCCGGCGTGAACGTGTTAAATGCTTAACACGTTGCTCGCCGTGTAGGTTGGATGTGGTCCGAACTGTACTTCTCAGACAGTCAATTGTAACATACAAATGTCCCTAGTAGCAATTACTGTTGGCAGTTTGATGGGCCTTTGATGCACTATTGGTTGGCCAACAGTTAGAATTGTCACCCTGTTTTGTAACTGGGTCAACAATCATACCCGACGTAGGGCCCACATCACTATACTACGAAGGGCCAACTGGAGATTTCTTTCTGTAGGGCCAATTGTTGAGTATCTAGAATAACCCAACAATAGAAGACAGTTGGCTATACTACACTTCCATAAAATCCTTTACAAATATTTGAAGGAGTATAACACTGGAAATGATATTGAATAATAATTACTTGTTATAATAATTGTATATATGTATACATTGTATATGTATATTAAACAGGTAAACAAACATGTGTTTTACAGCAAAGTTACCTTTACAATTTATTATGTACAATTTATACATGTAAGAGCGTTGGGTGGAGGTCCCGATCCCACACTCGGCCATCCTGCACTGACATTCGCCGTCGAATGTCTTCTGCGTACGTTTTCTTCCCTCGTCTTTTTCGAGTAACACTCTCCCACATTTGAACTTTTGGGAGACGTGCCCCTCTCTCTTCGTCTCTTCGGGTAACATTCTCCCACTTTTCGACTTCTGAGATACGTGCCCCTCTCTTCGTCATCGCCTCGTGTGTTCGTAGATGCCACCATCCCGGACGAAAACCCAAATGTAGGAGCGTTGGAAAAATGAGAGGGGCCCAAGCGGGATTCGAACCCACGACCCCTGGCGCTGAAAACCGAAGCTCTACACTCTGCTCCACGGAACCCTTCTTTTTTCCACTAATGTTATTTGCTCCTTCTTGTTGGATATGGAGGTCCTGATCCAACATACATGTAGCTAATTATTACAAATAATTATTATAAGTTATTTCCAAACTTCTGTCGCCTGACTCTATTTTAACAAAATGTCAAATGTCAAACGTGTTGCGCGACAGTAACAAATTGTAAGTATATTCGTAAATAAGAAAACAAAAAAATCAATTTGAAACATAATAACAAGTTTTTGGTTGTAGCAAGGTTTCAGACATCTTTAAGACGATATTTAAATGTTGGCAAACTTTGGGTGAGCCACTGTTGTATTATCGTTGTAAATTTCTTGTTAATTAACCAACTATAATAATTGTATGCCCAACATTGGATATTCGTTGGCAAATTGTCATAATTTTTTCGTCGTAGGCTTTATTTTGGGAATTTGTAGGCAAAAACACTGGCTATATCCCAACTAACTCCAAACTGTTGGCCACCGTTGGCCAACCATAAATGCTATTAGGGATAATACTGTACAGAATCGTTATACAGGGTGAGACAATAACTATATCCACTTTGAATATTGCCGTTCTTTGTAATAATATGAAAAAATGTTATATACAAAACTTACACGGTATAGAGGAGGGCATATTGTGACACAAACAGTTTCTGCGTGGGTGAAGGCATAGATGAGATTTCAAGGTCATCTCTATGTTTTTTTCATCGCGATGTGATAGCCGGTGTTGAGACGACTTCAGCGAGCTATCATTGAAGGTCATGCAAGGTCAAATGTGGTAGTACAATAAACTTTCTTACATTACAGGAGATGCTCTAAGTGGTGACCGTTTGCGTCAATGCAAGGTTGCAATCTTCGTATCGCTGCATCACGTGCACGTCTTATCATTTCTGAACTTATTCTAGCACACGCTGTATTATTTCATAGGGGACTTTATTAGAAAGTGTACCACTAAACGTTCGTCAAATGATGTGATTACAGCACGACGGGTGTCCAGCACATTATGCTAGGAGAGTAAAAGATGCACTGAACGAACTTTACCCAAATAAATGGATAGGACGTGGAGGATTAGTTTCTTGGCCATCTCATTCTTCAGATTTAACCCCATTAGATTTTTTTCTCTGGGGAGGATTGAAAAATGCTGTTTATCAAGAAGTACCCACTACACCAGAAAGTATGAAACAACGGATAATTGCAGCATGTGCTAGAATAAGTTCAGAAACGATAAGACATGCACGTGATGCAGCGATACGAAGATTGCAATTTGGATGAGATGACCTTGAAATCTCCTCTATGCCTTCACCCATGCAGAAAATCTTTGTGTCCCAATATGCCCGCCATACCGAGTAAGTTTTGTATATTACATTTTTTCATATTATTACAAATAACGGCAATATTCAAAGTGGACATAGTTATTGCCCCACCCTGTATAACTGTTGCATGTATAACGCGTTTCTCACATAACACATAACGTAAGACCCTACATTACCACTATAAATATTGAATAAATGGAAAATATTTAACGGATTTTTCTATAAAACAGTAGACTGTGTCATTAATTAAAAATGGTTTATTTAATCAATTAGATCAAAAACAATATTACATGCCAAAAGATGTTATATAGGAGCTTTAGGGGTTGGTCCACCTTGACCGTTTGAAAATCATACGTACTTCTGTGAAGTGCCCTGACGATTTCTACGCCAATATTTCTAACTCCCTGGACGCGCTAGTGAGCTCCTATTTAGGGTGTCTCCCGCTGCCATCTCCTTGAGGGTCTTGTTCGGAGGGAGGTGCTGGATTACTGCCCTTGCGGTCCTATTCGTTGGTGCGGATGTTCGCCGACCCCGCAATAGATCGGGCTGCCTCGCGACGTGGACTCCTCCACCGTGGGTCTACGGGGTTGTCTTATCGTAGGGCGGGAGGCCTTTTTCCCAATAATCGGGTGGTTCGATTACCAATGCCCTACGGCATTTTCTGGTTAGGGTGGGGAAAATGGTTTCAGAGTCGGGTGTCGCCGAACGTTCGTTACGTCCCTGTAATTGTGCACAGAATATTCGGCGCGAAAAGAGACGCGGTTAGTCGCTATTCGAATCTTTGACATTTCTTGGGATTCCTCTAGGAGCACTTGTGTGCCGACGGTGTGCGGTGAGCGGGGTTCTCCGAGGCAGAGGGCGGTCCAGCTCCCTTGATATTAGGCTCGAAATTCAAATTTGATGCGGTCGCGTGACGCTGGTGAAATTGCAGCGTAACACCGACTATACCCTTTAAACGACATTCCCAGTAGATATGCATGTTTTTTCTCAATTCATCATACACAAAACATTATTCACTAACATATACATGAACGAAACAAAATGAGGATTATTAAAACTTCAACAGCCATAGTTTTCTAAAATTATGGTACTTAATTGAATTATCACGTATATTATTTGGTACATTATGTAAAATCGTTTTACTAATTGGTTTAACTCAGAAATAATGTGTACCACAGATGAGTAAAATTCAACAAATAGTGGTTACAAAATAGTAATAATTACAATATTAAGTTGATGGAAAATAAGTGCCCGAACACCATTTTACGCATTACTTTTTTAAAAATACTTTTACAAAAATCATTAATAGTTAATCTGTATTTGGATCAAAGTGGACCAATGTGCTGTGCATATATGTGCATAGTGTTCACTACGATTCAATTCTAATTCTACAAATTCTCACCTCCATTGCCTTGTAAAAACAAGTGAATAAATTCTGCGTAAGCTATAATTACATTAGAAGGGTGACAGTAACCTTGAATATTCAAACGCAACACTTTGTAAATACACAATGTCTATTTTTACATATTTATTAATGTTTCCAGTATTCCAATTTCTCTTTTTTTTTAAATAAATTTTCAGAATGTAATCTCAATTTTGTGTTCTAGACGTCCATGGAGTGCTACAAAGAGGAAATTTTCGGACCAGTACTTTCCTGTATTTTCACCAACACTTTAGACGAGGCTATCAACATTATTAATCAAAGTCCGTATGGAAACGGAACTGCTGTATTCACGACAAACGGTGCAACGGCGAGAGCATTCATAAATAGAATCGAAGTTGGTCAAGTTGGCGTAAATGTTCCTATTCCAGTGCCATTACCAATGTTCAGTTTCACGGGAAACAAAGGATCCTTCTTGGGAGACAATCATTTTTATGGAAAATATGTAAGTGTAACAGTTAAAAGTTTGTGTATATCGATAAGCATTGGGCTCTTTTTATGTTTATGTTGAATTGCACGCCTCTGGACGAGTTCTATCGGGGGTGAGACTTGTTTCAGTACTAACCTCCTAGGCACCAAGCTTTGCCCTGTAGCACTTTGAGTCTTCTTCCATGAAGTGTTCCGTTAATCCCATGTCAGGGCGTTACCCGAGCGCAATTTACAGCCTTTTTTGTCCGGATTTTTATAGTCTCCACCTTCAAGCTGCGGTTGCCTAGTATCATTTCGTCTCTTCCTATGAATTCCTCTAAATTGCCTCCGTGCTAAGTAGAGGGAAAAAACGTTGGGGCAACTGAGACCATCGACCAGACGCCAGATGTGGAAATCGTGTCACAAACAACACGAGACATGTTGCTTCAAGTAGCGTGAGTCTAGTCACGAGTAGGATTCCACCGCCGCATGGTGGTCCTACATCTCCGGATTGGGAGGAAAAAGTTTTACGATTTGTTTTATCGATCGCAATACCACTTTCCATACATTTTTTCATTCTAAATTGAATGAGATAAAAATCAAGTCGATACGATTAATAGTTTTCGACATGTCACGGAATTTATGTTTAGAAAAATTATAACTTACATTGACTAATTACTGTTGACCCTATCCTCATCATCAGAGCTTCCCTTATTCACATACGAACCAGCATCTTCTTCAGAAATACTTGGTCTCCTCCCTCTTCGCGTTGTGCTTCATCCGAGAAAAGTATTAGCTCGTAGCTTCCTTTGACATCAGCTATGAGCGGATCTAATGCAATAAGTGATCTATTCAACAGGTCCTTATTCGTTGTCAGTCGAATTTTTTTCCTCGTGTTATGTTTACGGTGAGACGAACGTCGCTGGTATAAGGGGAATAGTTGTCGTCTCAGTCGGCGCGCCAGGGATCGTTCAAATGAACGTGCAACGGTCGTGGTTGGACATACACATTGTTTATTCTATATTATCAGTTGGACGTAAAATGGAGCTCGAGGCTCTTACAAATATTAAATATAGGCTAAACTGTACGGTGGTTAATGGTTCAGGAGCTCGGAAGCTCTTAGAAAAAATAAACAAACAAAAATAAATTCTTTACGGTACGGCGGTTAACGGTTATGAAGCTCAGAAACACTTGAAAGAAATAAACAAAATTAAACTTTTAATGGCACAGTGGCTAACGGTTACAGAGCTTGAAAACTCCATCGGCCCGATTAGACTGTACTCACTGGGTGATTCATTCACCGTGAGACGGTGCGGCCGGTGACGTGACTGCAAGCAAGACGGGATTACACCTGATCAGCTGCACAATATACATCTGTAGGCCGACAAACGGCTTATTCCTGGAATGATTTGAAACAACTATTTCCTTAGTAAAAATGTTATCCGAGGCTTTGTTAACGAGATATTAACGAAAAACCTCGACCAATCAGACCACGAATCTGCCGGTCGATTTCTTGGGATAGCGTTGGCTACCAATCGCAGTGTGCAGCCAACGCTACCGCGGAAGCTCTGCCGGCAGACTCGCACTCCGATTGGTCGAAGTTTTTCGTTAATATCTAGTTAACAAAGCCTCGGATAACATTTTTACTAAGGAAAAAGTTGTTTCAAATCACTTCACGAGTCTATCATTTTCGGGTCCTTTAACATTTTTGTTACACCCTGTATAGTCAAAATCAAGTGAGATAAGAAAGGTGCTCATGTTAAGTAGTACACCCTGTATAATAAGTACTAAAATATATTTTTTACCATGTGATCTATTTTTAGGGCATAAACTTCCACACGCAAACAAAAACGGTGACGCAATTATGGCGATCTGAAGATGTCAGTGATATCGCACCCTCAACTGCTATGCCGACAATGGAATGAAGACTGTGCTAATGCTTTAATTAAGAAACTGGTCATACAGGTTTTTGAAACTTATTAGATATTCCAATCTAAGTCACTATCACCTTCCTTTACAAAAAGATATAAATAGTTGTAAACAATAATGTCTTCCAATATTTCGATATTTTCGGGTACTTTTTTATACATAAACATTCTAATGACTGTAATATACCTGTTATATTGATTGTGTATTATGTAGTAAAATTCCTGTAATATATATTAAAGTAATAAAACAATGTAATCTCAGCGTTGTGATTTACATTAATGAACTGTTATGCTTTACTACACCGCGAATGTTATTTATACCCAGTTTGAAACGACCTATTTCTTTTTAAAATTCTCAAAAGACAGAGAGAGTGGCAGAGAGAGAGAGAGAGCGCGAGCGAGAGCGAGAGCGAGAGACGGAGAGAGAGACAGTGAGTAGGGATATGGGGCCGATTCTGGTCCATGGATCCAATAGAAATATTGATTACATTATTTAATTCGTACATATAGAAGACCGAACCTTCGGCTGCAACGGAAAATTGTCACGCTATTGCATACGTAGATGAGACAGACCTGACTTTGACTCCAACGAAAAGTGCGTGTATTATATATACATATATATATATATATATATATATATA